CGCCAATGGCGCGGGCGTTTAAATATAACAGCTTTGAATATATATATATATATATATATATATATATATATATATATATATATATATATATACATATATATATATATATATATATATATATATATATATATATATATATATATATATATATACCAAAAAGTGTTTACTTCAGCCTGCCACTTATCAATTCAGAACTAATATTAATATACATATATATATATATATATATATATATATATATATATATATATATATATATATATATATATATATATATATGTATATTAATATTAGTTCTTAATTAATAACGAAGAACTGTACACTGATGATTTTAACTGTGTAGAAAAATATAGTTTCACAGGTACTGAGTTCAGTTGAGAGTATATTGTACCTTCTCTGCTCAGGGAAGTGTCTTAGTGCACTTGTATAGGAGAACACTTAAGTGAGGTGTTCACTGGGTAACAGGTGATATGATAGTCTCTCTCTCACACCAGGGAGAGAGAGTGGTCAAGGGGGTCTTATAGGAAACTCGTCAGATTGTTTGTTCCTGAGCTGCGCTGACGCAGCTTGACCTCGCCCACTCCCCAGAGAAAATGTCAACTCACCAATTGATTCATACTCATGGATGAATGACTTGGTGAATATATGGGTAATATACATTTGGGTAAATATTTATATAATACAAATGGTGCTGTTACAGACTATCTTCAAGTATAATAGATACCAATAAAAATTTGTTGCTTATTGTAATAGCTGGATATTATTCTGGATAAGAGAACAATGACGTAATAAATAAGTACATGATTTAGATATCAGAAATTTCAACTCCATGTAGAGTATTGCTTTTTAAATTGAAATTTATGTGTTTTGGCGACATTTGGAAAGCTATAAACAAATAATTATATCAAGAATGGAAAAAAGTCACAGCTTACTAGGTAAAGAAATAGAATAAAATAATTTCAACCTCATAAATTTTACCAATTGAAGCAACTGTTCCAAAACCTTTCATTTTCATATCTTTTTTTTTTATCCCAGAGAGAAAAATTGTGTTCTCTTATTTTACGTAATAATATCTTAACTTTGGTGTTTACTGCTTTCCTCCTCTTCGCAGTGGATCCCCTGGACAAGCCTAAAGGAGATGAAGGATGGCAGCTACAAGATCGGTGGACCTATGGGTAATTTGCTGGATATATTTGCTGAACAAATGAATTTTGAGTAAGTATAATGCCTGCTCTCAGTGTGTGTTTCTTCATACATTTATATATAATTAACTCGCATGATCTTTCTCTCTCCATGATCCAGGATGGAGTATATCAATATATCAACACCAATCATTTACTAAGTTTGTATTTGTTGTTATTTATATTATCTCCAAGTTTCGTAATATATGCGTTGTGGTTAGGTTAGGTTCTCCTTCCACATTAATGCCTCAGAACTTTCATCTAGTTTTACTACAGTTCCTTCACACAACTGCTGATCACTCACCAACACAAACCCTCTAATAAACGTCAAAAATATATGTACTGTACAAGAATAGTGTGTGTGAAGTTTTAAATCTTAATAAATTTGTTTGCACATAATGTAGAAATAAGCTGTGGCTGGAGAATATAAATGGCCAATCTGATAACGTTATAATACAATTTGATGCTGCACACAATTTTAGTTTAAATGAAAGACAATGAAGGAAGAGATTATATATATAAATATAAATATAAATATAAATATATATATATATATATATATATATATATATATATATATATATATATATATATATATATATATATATATATATATATATATATATATATATATATAAATAGATATATATAGATATATATATATATATAGATATATGCTGAAAACCACAAGGAAAGAAGAAAACACGAAGTTCCCAAGCGCTTTCGTGTAATTCACATCTTCAGGGATGAGTACAGACTAAAGAGAAGCACAAAACAAGGTGTATATATACAGAGGAGGGTGAGACCAGGTCCACAATGGTCAGGTATTAGGTAATGACCCTACTAATCTTTAAATAGCACGGCAACCGGTAGTCAGGTCAGAGGGTAAGGTGACCCAACCTTCTCACCTGGTTACAAATCTTCTTAATTACAAAATTGTCCAGTTTGTACATGCCATTACTCAAATTCATGTTGAATGCTTGGGTTTGAATTTGAGTAATGGCATGTACAAACTGGACAATTTTGTAATTAAGAAGATTTGTAATCAGGTGAGAAGGTCTGACGACACTGCCGTGCTGTTGCGCGGGGTAGGTACTGTGCCTCACCCTCCTCTGTATATATACGCCTTGTTTTGTACTTCTCTTTAGTCTGTACTCACCCCTGAAGATGTGAATTACACGAAAGTGCTTGGGAACTTCGTGTTTTCTTCTTTCCTTGTGGTTATCAGCATATACCTAGATCACTCGCACCTACAGTGATTTACTTGCATTTATATATATATATATATATATATATATATATATATATATATATATATATATATATATATATATATATATATATATATATATATATATATATATAAGATTCATATATTTAGAACGTTTTTTTTTTTTTTTCCTTTATGCAGATACGAGACAGTTCGTCCACCAGACTCCTACTGGGGCATCAAGCTGCCAAACGGAACTTGGAATGGCATGGTAGGGATGGTGCACCGGAATGTGAGTCCTGACACATGGTATTACTCTTGAGTCACCACCACCAGACTCCTACTGGGGCATCAAGCTGCCAAACGGAACTTGGAATGGCATGGTAGGGATGGTGCACCGGAATGTGAGTCCTGACACATGGTATTACTCTTGAGTCACCACCATGAGTTGCCACACAGATCTCTTACACAATGGTTTTTATTTTATTCATCACAAGTAAAATTTATGCGTTAATTTGCGCATAATACACAACAGATACGGTATTCAATTGAAATTATATCGTTATTACTACGATTCAACCACGACGGTCTTTAAGCGCATATCAATGTTAGTAATTACACTAGTCCATCAAAATTTAAATTTACGAGACGTACTATTCTCTGCATAAGGCATTTCTTCCACTCAAACATACAACATTGTTACCTGTATCATAATACTCAACAGATATTTCTTCCACAAAAAATATATAATATTTATAACTGTGTCGTGTTGGTCCAGTTCACCGAAAGTTACTAAGAAGGTCCTTCTAAACACAGTACTAACTGGTGGTGGTCTGTTTTTCTAAACATACAAGGTTGTTTGTGTAGGCAGATGTAAAACTTCCTTGGATGTAGTACTATTATCATAAGAGAATTATTATGCTGGTCCAAATGGAACAACAGCCACTGTTGACGGTTCCAGCTGGCCATAGTTTTACAAAAAAGGTTCCACAGCTCGGATCTCACCTGGCTCGGTCTTCAAGGAGGTTCTCTTGATATTAAACAAGGGATTAGATAATTAGAAGATGAATGACGATTGGAAACTTTAAAATCACTCCCTTAAAATAACATGCGTTTCATTGTCTATTCACAATATTTCTCCCGCAATACTAATGAATTCAGTCTATAAAATCTCCCGTGTAAACAAAACGTAAACCTCTGCATTACCTTGTACTATTTAAGTATTATTCGTGATTCGTGATCAGATTCTGCTTAAAAGGTTCCTAACTAATAATATGAACAACAATTACTTAATTACATAGTCTTGCCAAACTTATAAGTATGTAGAGAGATGGTAATTATAAACACTAGATTTCGTTGATGACCCGACAGGAGGTGGAGTTCGCCCTGGGCCCCTTCACCGTGACGCCTCAAAGGGAAGGAGCGATCGACTTCACTTTGGCGGTGCACAGCGACAACCAGGCTATCTTCATGGTCAGGCCGGGCCTACAGAACGATATCACAGGGTTCCTCAAGCCCTTCACGCTAGAGGTGAAACTCAGAGTGGTAGAGAAAAGGAGGGTGAGGTAGAAAGAGAAGGGAGAAAGGGAGGGTAAGGTAGAAAGAGGGATAGGATTGGAGATTATAGGTTGAAAAGAGGAATGGAGGAGGGTGGTGGAGAAGATGAGATAAGTAGATGTACAACAAATTAGGTGATCAATACAAAACGAACTAGATAGTCTACGAGGGGATCGAACCTAAATCTCCCTGTGAGAAGAGAGTATTGATGCTGCCAATCCAACATTCACCCTATAATGAAAATGGATAGAAAAACAAAGAGCTGAAAATACAGACAAATACAGAAAGATTTTTGGTTGAATTAAATTAAACTGGGTAATAGATATGGGAAGAAATACTCATAAACAGGTAGGTAGTAGGTAGCCACCAAACAAAGAGGTACTAACTCCTGGGTAGATATTGGAAGCTCTTATGGTAGAATCTACTGCCATATGGCATCACGAAAATTGCGACCAAGTCCCAGGTTGCTCATCTGACATTTTACCTCATTTTCACACAATTGCAGGGTCTCAATTGTCTATCTTACTTTGACAACACAACATACATATATTGTTTCTCACTCTAGATTTTTTTTTCATTTTTGTATTTATTTATGGTTATTATTATTACTATCTATTATTATTTTTTTTTGGGGGGGGGGGGTAGGGGGGTATCTTTATTATAATTTTTGTTTTTATTATTACCATTATTATACTTTCGCCCCCCACCCTTCCCGAGACCCGAATGTGGGTCAGTGACTTGTGCCTGGGTGGGCTTATGCCCGTAAAAAAAATTAAAAAATGATAAATAAATCATCAATATTCAACGTTCCCTCAGGTGTGGATGATGGTATTGTTGAGTGTTGCGATCATCATGGGCGCCATGGTGGTAGTGGCTGGGGCTGAGGCGCGGATCTTTTCCCTCACCACCAACAATATCCCTGCTAAGACCTTCCTCTGGATGCTGCAGACCCTGACTCAGGAGAGTAAGATCTGTGTGGTGATGAGTTTCTTAGTCTAGCTGTTAGAGGACAACTTTATTCCTCTAGATACCAAAGGTGTTGTCTTGTCTTTCTGTTATTTGCATTCCTTCGCCTTTCAGTCAATTGTGTGTTTTTTTCTTCCGTTAACTATGCTGACACTCATTCATAGATACTTTAGCATTTTAGGCAGTTGGTAATTCACTATAGTCATTCGTTACCTTTGATGTTTTAAAGGCAAAAGATAATAAAATAAATACTATTCAGTAATATATATGATTTACCACCAAATTCTTCACAGGCTCTGAGTGGCTGCCCAAGAAGGACGGAGGACGCCTCATAGTGACCACGTGGCTCCTGGCCTCCTTAGTGTTCATGACCTCCTACGCCGGGATCCTTACGGCCATGTTGACAGTGCCTCGGGTCACCATTCCTATAGACTCCCTGAATGACCTGGTATCCCAGACTGACCTGCCCTGGCGACTCGAATCTGGGTCTATGATGCTACCTTACCTGGGGGTATAAATAAAAGAGAATAAAGTTTATACTCAATTGAGATGTTCATTAGTAGGCGGCTGCATTTATGAAAAAAACCCACCTTACCCTAAAAAAATTCCTACAAAAGGTTTCTCAACTGTTTATTGTAGTATCAGGTATGCTTAATAACATATCAAACGTCTACCACGGTCTGACCACGAGAAAGGTGTAATTTTCAAGATGGTGTCGAATAGCCACCAAATCCAAAAAATGCCTGTTACTCCTTCATTATTCATCCTAGAGAAGTAATTTTGATGTCTAACCCCATGTTTTGGTGGCCTAGGAATCTGTTTGGCTTGTTAAAAAAGCGACATGATTACATAATTGTGAAATCTAAGATACAATTTGCTTTGTGTGACTGTTTATTTACATTATTTATTTACTGACTTCATTTACTAATGACCAACGCATTATGGACCATGTCCAATTGTCCATACCCATCACATCTGAGCACAACAATGCCATGCAGGAATTCAATGACCTCACCTACACGATCAGCGAGCAACACCGAGAATGAACAGAAGGAAGGATGAAACGAGTTCACTCTGACCTGAAAAAGATCAAGGAAAAACTGTCCACATGCATGCCATTTTCTCCAGACCCATCTCTGAGAAACATCATTACTGGTTTAGTTGCCAAAGAGGATGTGAATGTCCATGAGTATGAGACTGTTGGGAATGAGATTATTGAAAAAATGGTTGGAAAATCTATTTTTGGGATCTCATTCAAACGGAAAGACCGGGCAAAAACCCTAGCACGGGAGTCCACCATCAAATTTGCCCAAGGCAGAACCATTGATCCTGCTCTGCTGTTCCAAAGATTTCTGGTTCTGTCAAAAACCCGAGACCTTTCACTGGCAGATGTAATGAGCTATGAGCTCAGCACATTCCCTACAGCCCTGTTTGAAGCCAAGGAAATCTTTCGTAAAGCTGACAAGCCCCAACTACACTGTTAGAAAATTCAGTATTTTTTTACATGTTTCTTCTGTATTTCCGACCAGGAAAACGTAGTAATTTGAATTACTTTTTTTGTTCTGTAAAATATTTCAGACCCTCTTTCTCTGTTTCAATTTGTTTAATTATCAATATAAACTGACATTTTATCATACTATATACACTTCATGAAGCAAAGAACATTTAAAATTGCATGTTAATGCTGTTATTTCTATATGTAATTACTAAATATGCGGTTGGCGGTTGCTTGTGCTTCACATTTGTCGTATGTCCGTGTTTGTTTACATTATTTCAAAGAGCGCCACATCATCACATGGGGGTGGGCTCTGGTGGAGTGGTATCGGTCTTGCCTCGCAAGCAAGATGTCACCGGTTCGATTCCCGGGCCGGCGGAAGTTGTTTGGACACTCTTCTTAGTCCCCTTGGTCTCTGTTCACCTAGCAGCGAAGTAAGGTACCTGCTGTAAATTCGAAAGTTGCGAATTCGTATTCAGGGACATCTTGTTGGAGCTTCCAATAACTTCCAACAATCTGTTAATTCAACAGATATTTTATGTAAAATATATACAGAATCTCTGTAAATTATACAGAAAATGTTTGGCAATAATATAACCAGTGAATTTTCTGTAAATTTTACAAGATTTTTTTAACAATGTAGCACATGCAGTTGCTGAGTATTCAAGCAAGAAATCAAAAGAAGCTATCATGGATTCTATCCCACTAACTGAACATTATGTCCTTGATGGTGGTTCCCTGGTTCATCTCTTTCCATGGAAAAAGGGTGACAGTTATGGTGCCATTGCACGGATGTATGCTGACTTTACCATACGCCATTATGGAAAAGCAGCCGTAGTTTTTGATGGCTTTAGTGAAGGTCCTTCCATCAAAGACAATACGCATCAGCGACGTGGGCAAAACACCCGCCCGATCATCAGCTTCAATGCAAAAATTGAGTTTGTTGGAAGAAAGGAAGATTTCCTTCCAGATCTTGCAACAAACAAGGACTTATTGATCTTGTAACTGAGGAATTACAAGATAGGGGAGGATACAGACCTGCTCATCCTTCTCCTCTACTATGCTGAAGCAAACAATAGGGGCCTCTATTTTCGTTCGGACAAGTCCACAGTTCCTAAGGTGTACAACATCAGTGAGGTGAAACAAGTCCTGGGTAGTGACATGTGTTCTCAGTTGCTGTTTATCCACGCTTTCACAGGATGTGACACAACTTCCCGCATTTTCAGTGTTGGCAAAAAGTCAGCGTTCCAGAAACTTGTGAATGGTGAATTGACCATTCAGACCTGTGCGAATGCGTTTCTGCTCCCAAGTCAAGCAAACAGTGTCATAGAGGACCTTGGGAGCAAGGCGATGGCAGTTCTGTTTAGTGGCAAGAGTACCGATTCACTTGCCTCTTTGCGCTACAACCTTTTGATCAAGAAAATTGTCTCCGCCAAGTCATTTGTTACCCCAGAATGTCTCCCTCCTCGACTAAATATCATAGCTTTAGAGTGTATTACCAGATCATGGTGTGGACTGGAAAGGAGAGTGACATGAATGCAGTGGATTGGGGATGGAAACTGGAGGACAATCAGTTTGTGCCATATATATATATATATATATATATATATAACAAGAAGTATGTCTGTGTGTTTGATTTGTGTGCGCACGAGAATCTTAGAAACTACTTTACCGATCTGTAGTGATGATGGATGGTGTTATATGTAGTGATGATGATGGATGGTGTTATATGTAGTGTTGATGGATGTTGTTATATGTAGTTATGTTGGATGTTGTTATATGTAGTGATGATGGGTGGTGTTATATGTAGTGATGATGGATGGTGATATATGTAGTGATGATGGATGTTGTTATATGTATGTTGGATGTTGTTATATGTAGTGATGATGGGTGGTGTTATATGTAGTGATGATGGATGGTGTTATATGTAGTGATGATGATGGTGTTATATGTAGTGATGATGATGGTGTTATATGTAGTGATGATGGATGATGTTATATGTAGTGATGATGGGTGGTGTTATATGTAGTGATGATTAGACAATACAATAATAACAGTTTAATGCTAAAAAAATATACTTTGCTGTACCATTGTAGTGGAACTTACATACACCGTTAATGAACTATTGATGGAAGAAGTTTTGGGGATTGAACAGTGAGACAATGTGGAGCCTTCCGGAGGGTGGCGTCCTATCGTGGCCTAGCGGATGAGCCGCCCGGAGGGCGGCTCATCCGCTAGTATACTATAAACTCCTCAATAAGCTCATCTAGTTCTGTAATGATTGTGGAGTAAGAAGTACAAGTAAAGTAAGAATTTATATTTGTAGTTACTGTAAAGTTAGGAAGGTTGGTAGTGTGGCCATTAGTTAGTTAACTTGATAGTGTGTTCATAAGAACATAAGAATGGAGGAAACTGCAGCAGGCCTATTGGCCCATAATGGACATCCCCATTTACACCCAACCCCCTATCGCTCCTATATCCATCCAACCTATGTTTGAAGCTATCCAGTGTATTCGAGTTAATGATGATGTTTGGTAACTTGTTCCATTCACCAACTACTCTATTTCCAAACCAATGTTTGCCTACGTCGCGCCTAAATCTAAATTTGTCTAATTTAAAGTCATTGTTACAAGTTCGCTCCTGGTTGGATAGTTTGAGTACCTTTGTTATATCACCTTTGTTTAGCCCTGACTTCCATTTATACACCTCTATCATATCGCCCCTCACTCTACGTCTCTCGAGGGAGTACAAATTAAGATGCTTTAACCTCTCTCTGTACTCAAGGTTCCTAATGCCCAGGGTTAGTCTTGTCATTCTCCTCTGTATTCTTTCTTGGGATTTTACCTTTATATCCATTCTGTAATACGGTGACCAGAATTGAACTGCGTAATCTAAGTAAGGTCTCACAGGCGCAAGATATAGTTTTAGGATAACCTCTCTAGTCTTGTAACTAACACTCCTTTATAATGAACCCAAGTACTTTATTAGCCTTGTTTCGAGGAAATACACATTGTTTACTTGGCCTAAGATTCCTATTTATCATTACTCCTAAATTTTTCTCGCATTCGGATTTCTCTATAACATCGTTGTTCATCTGATATCTGGTTAATCATCTACACTAAGTACTTTACATTTGTCCACATTGAATTTCATCTGCCGTTTTTCAGACCATTCGAAAAATTTGTTCACATCTTCCTGTAGTTTTGCGGAGTCCTCGTCAGATTTAATTATACGCCCTATTTTAGTGTCATCACTAAATTCACTTATATTGCTGTCTACGTCGATATCTATGTCGCTTATGTACATAATAAATGATAATGGTCCAAGTACTGAGCCTTGGGGTATTCCACTAGTGACGTTACTTCAATCGGATTTAGTGAGGTTAATGCTCACTCGCTGTTTCCTGTCCTGTAACCACGCACTAATCCATTTTAGAATATCTCCTCCAATGCCATGAGCCTCCACTTTTCTTATTTGTTTTTCGTGTGGGACTCTGCCGAAGGCTTTACTAAAGACAAGATATACCACATCATAGTCGTGCCCTTCGTCCACTGATTCGAAAACAGCTGAAAAGAATGTTAATAGATTAGTTAGACATGAACGCCCGCTCGTGAAGCCATGTTGGGAATCATTGATCAACTTGTGCTTCTCCAGGTGATTTCGAATAGAGTTTGAAATTATTGCTTCCAATAATGTTCTTACAATTGATGTTAAGCTGATTGGACGGTAGTTAGAGGATAGTGATCTATCTCCCTTCTTGAAAATCGGTATTACATTCGCTATCCTCCAGGATTCTGGCACTACACTCGTTTTTGTTGACAGGTTAAACTAATTTGCTAAGGACATACTAAGCTCTTCCTTACATTCCTTTAATACTCCGGCACATATCTCATCGGGACCTGGCGAATTATTGGGCTTTAGTTTGTCTATTTGCTTACTAACATCGTTACTAGTCACTACTAGCTCGCTTAACCTATTTTCTTCGCTATCTCTGTATAGAGTCGGTGCCTTGGGTA